GGTGGCATAGTTGAAGCCTACTTACTCACCTGTTTTTAGCTCCAATGCAGATGTGATTATGAGAGCTGCCACGAAAGTAAGCCTTCTATTTTATGATGTTGGCCCATGACATCAGAGATTGATGTTGGTGGTACTTCAATAGAAGTAGAACCTTCCCACCAGTATTCTGTTCCATTTTGTTGTCATGTGACAGATGGCAGCAGAGGGGCAGTCTGACAAAATGGCGCCTGACGTGGAAGTGTGGATGAAGCGAAGGGGTGTCACTGAATTCCTCCATACAGAACTAATGGCGCCCACTGACATTTGTTAATGCTTGCTGAATGTTTTCAGAGATCAAACACTGCGAGCACAGTGAGGTGGTGGATGGTGTATTTCAGCAGTGGTGACAGTGACATAAAAGACAAGCCACATTCTGGATAGTCACTGCAAAATGAAGAGCATCTCAATCAGCTCATCCTCACCGACCAGTAGATTATGACCAGGTAACTCTGCACTAAACTGAGTATCATCTTCAATACGCTGGAAGTGATGGTGGCAACAATGGCTTCTCACAAATGAATGCTCACAGAGGATAAGAATGAACACCATACACAAGTTTATAAGAACCAACTGAACCAATACAAGGCTGAAGGTGACAGTGTCCTGCATCGCACCGCAGGTGATGAGATGTGGTCACCACTATGAGCTTGAATCAAAATGCCAGTCCGTGGTGTGACAACCATGTGACTTCCCCATAGAAAAATAAGTTTAAGATGCAGCCCTCAGCAGGTACAGTGATGTGCATTCTACTTTGTGATAAGAAAGGGATGATCCTTCTGCATTTTCTGGAGCCAGTGGAAGCATCAACACAGACTGCTACATTGTGATACCGACTAAACTGAAGGCTTAAACTTCCAGTCAGGCAAGAGAAGATGACAACTTCTCTCTTGCAAGATGATAATGCCAGGCCCCATACCAGTTTGAAGCACAGAGCACATTGCCTCTCTTGGCTGAACTGTCCTACCACACCAACTGTAGTCTGAATTTTGCACCTTCTGACTTCCATCCGTTCAGGCTGATGAAAGATGAATGACATGGGCAACCAACAGTGCCATGATAGCAGTTGTGAAGCAGTGGGTCACCTCCACTGGTGAGGCATTCAGGCCTCATCACTGGCGAAAATGCTCAGCTAATGGTGGTGACTGTTGAAAAACTGTTTTGCAGCAGAGTGTTAGCTCCATCAAATAGTTTTACTGTGCTCTTTTTATCTGTTGTTACCTCAATGGAAATAAATAGGGTGCATTACTTTCAGAGTCACCTATGTATGTATCCTACATGAGGGGTTTTTCAACTTTGTAGGTGACTGTGTCTAGGAAAGCCGTATTTTGGGATACAGTGATAGCTCATTAATAATTTTGTATTTGAAGTCTGTTCCTTGAAAATCTATATTCTTCTCAGATGTTTATGTGTAAATGCATTGACATGAGTATGAGATTTCTGCTTCTACTTCTATTGCTTCTGCTTATTTCCCAGTTGAAGTAATGCCAAATTAATTCTTGGTTTGGCTTTGTCCATTTCTGTAGGAGCGTACTGTACATTAATTTGGCTTCAAACCTGTGTAAGTAGGTGCCTGAAGAGATAATATTCTAGATGGGTTCGGATAATTATAAAATTGCAGTTAGTGTGCAACAGTAATACTGATACTTATTTAAAAATCAAGAGGGAAGGGCAGTTATTCACCTAAATACTTATGCAAGATTTTAAAGGGAAAATGGGATAAGAAGGAAAGATGTGAGATATGAGACAGAGAAATTGAATGTTACAGCAGGAATGTTAGTAAAAGGAAAAACAGATCTACAGTGTCATAAAAGTGTTTTACAGGGATATTTTCAAAGCATATCTTAAGGACAGTAAATGGGAAATGTATTCAGACATAAACTGAAATCTATGAAATTCCATTTGGAAATGATAACAAAAAATTTAGTGTAAAAGGAGACTGATTATTGGAAGAGATTGCCCTGACAGGTTGCAGAGTCTCTCTGTCCATGAAGATGTTCAAATCCCTGAGTAGTGTGCTCTAGCTGTCCTTCTGGACAACACTGAAAATTGAAAGCCATGCTGAAAAGAAATTTAGTTAAGCTCTTAAGCTCCTCAGTACAAATTAAAAGATATGATGAAAGGTTCCCTCACTTTGGAAAACAATCTCATCTGTTTTCTTATCGTGTAATATGAACTGTACTGTCAAGATTTATAATATTTGATGTTACTTTTGATCGTAACTTCAGTATTTAAACTTGGATAGCTCCATAATGCTTAGGAGGCTTTGACAGATACAGGAAAAGTCCAAACGTATGCCATTTATCCGTTACAGACAAGTCAAAATTATGTACTAATTAGTCAGTAATAAAAAAGCATTTACATAATTATCAGCACAAAAGCTAGTGTTTAAAAACAATCAACCCTCAATTTACCAGAAATATTTGTTAATTAAGTTCATTTCCGGCTGTTAGCTAGTAGTGATCCTATTTCTGTAACACAGAACAGTTTCCTGCTTTTTAAAAATTTCTTGAATTCTAGGAAATATAAAGCATAAAAAAAGCTTTTGTTTAATAATATAATATGAAAATAACATAGTAACAAATAGGAAGTTAGTCCTGTTGAAGTAATTATTAAGAGTGCATCTATGGCAAATGCTAAGTTTGCCACCTAGATTTACCAATAATCTTGTTAATTTAGAACCTAGGAAGTTTACCTGCTTCATATTTATTTGGCAAAAAGGGGAAAATACCACCTATAATACTAAACATTCCAGTTCCAGCAAAATAGAGCACTGCTGCAGATTTTTAAAGTAGAGATTGTAACTAATTGCAAAGAGGTGAATTTATGAAAAGCTTTGAAATTAGGAATGCATGTATCAGTGCATAAAAAGTGGGGAAAACAGCAAACTTAAAGAAGATCTAAAATCATAAAATAAAAATAAATTTAACAAGCAATTAATTTTGACAATAGAAAAATAAGGAAACCCTTTTTCCTTGGCAATATACACAAAGAAATTTTTTTGTTTTGGCTCCAGCAATAGGAGAGCATACAGTTTAGATAAGACTGCAAGAGGAAATTAGAAGTCCAGTTTAATACTGTTAACAGAGATCAGGATTTCTTTCACATAATATATACATAATAAGCCACCTGTACTTGACTGCAATCAGTGAATGACAGAGGACATTTGCAAAGGTTCGTGTGAAGTGCTTTTGTTGATAATAGACGAAATCAAAGGCAAAACTTTGCAACACTTGTTTTACTTTTTCCTGAACGTCATAAAGGGGGTGCAAACTTTGTGGATTAAAATGAATTTTACTTATCAAGAGGACCAAAATATATCACTTCAGCACTCTGCTAATATGCATGTAAATACCTAGATAAGAAAGTCAATATTTTAATGTGTGTAATACCCCAATTAAAAGTACATCACTTTTATTATTCTCCTTCACAGTACAGATACGACGGTATTAATCCCTTTAATTGTTGGAATGGTTGGAAATTGCCAACCAGAGTGTTCTGGTTTTGATGTACAATAGAAAGGTAGACATACAAATGTAAAAATACTGCTTAATTTATATTTTTACTGCCTTAAAAAGCCTGCGTTCATTTCAGAGGATAATTCTCAAATTAATTTGCTACCCGTACTGTAGAAAGCTCTGTGTGCCTTTATTACTTGTTAGGTTGGGTTTTTTTACTAAAACAAACTCCATATCTTTGGAAAGTAATACTGCAAAATGTGCTTTCTCTTTAGCCACTGATTCTTCAAACTAATGCTAACTAATTTAGTGATTGGGAAATTATGAAGATAACGTAAGGATGTGCAGTACTCCAACCAAATGTAATGACTCCTCTCATTTGCGGTCCTTTTATTTCTTATTACCAAGTGAAAATAAGGACTGGATAGCCTTCAGACATTCTACGGATTACAGTTTAACAGAGTTGGATTTCCTAAGTACTAAATGTTTTTTTTTCTTAACGTGCTCTTTCTCAGCTATTTATTTTCAAGTGGCATTTGTAAAAAATAGCTGTTTTATATATTCTGCTTGTTATGCTGTTTATGCTGATGATCAACAAATAAGCAGTGTCATGTTTAAAAGTTACTTCTTAGAAGCAGTACAGTATTTCTAAGTCCTTTTTTTGAAAAGAAAACATGCAAAGATGAATGTTTTTAAACCCGAGGTTCATACTTGTGCTTTAAAACACAATTACACGCAAACCCCATTTTTCAGATGGCAAAGGGCTAAAAATGACCTACACACATCTAGCTCTCATGGTCATGCAGCTAACAGAGGGAATGTATAAATAGGATTTGAAACAGAATTCTGTTACAGAATACCAATTGAAATGAGGCTACTAATAAGTAATAACAAGGATTGCATTAAGCCATCGACTCACTAACTCTTGACACTTTTATGAAAGTAAAGAATGAGTGTCATAAAAATTGTCATGGTATTTTATGTTATTGTTTGCTTTCTTCAGGTAAAAGCATGTTAGCTGAAACTGCTGTCTTTAATGGTAGAACAGATGCACAACCTAAGAAGTTTTACATTATTTGAAGTTTCTGAAGTATTCCTATTATAGCTCACCTTGGAAGAAAGTTTTGTTCATGTTTTTGTACTTGGTGCTATATTGAGCTGTTCACTACAGTTCTCCTAACCAAAGACTGAACAGTCACGCAGATAAAAGCTGCTGTACAGAGTCCTTATGCTAATCTATGTCAACAGGAGATTACTGGAACAAACTACGCAAAACAGCTCCATCTTTTTTCTTCTTCTTTTGATTTAAATAGTTAATTATCTTCACTGCTCTTAATCTGGTGGGTAGTTACAAAGACCTTAAAAATGAAGTACACCTAAGTGATGCAAACTAGAACATACAGATGAATCATTATTTCTTAAAAACAAGTGTATCCTATTGACGTAACCAGAACAAACTGTACTCAGGTAAATATTTAAATAAAAACATTTATTAATATTACCAGGTTAAAATGCAGTAGATAGAAGTAACGCTCTGCAGAGGCCGTAAGCCAAAACATGACCGAAAAGACTGAACTTTTATTTCAATGAAGGCAATATCAGAAAGAGAAAATGGTAGGAATCTTCTAGGACATACAAAAGCTGTTGCTAACACATTTGCTGACACATAACAAGGAGTAACAGGTATAAACAAAATCAAGGGAAACCACAAAAATTTCTTAAAATAAAGCTTTCCAACGGTAAGGATTTTCAGTACTGAGTTCCATGTCCTCAGGAGTCTGTGAAGTCTAACCTTAGAGGTTGTTAAGATCATGCAGGATACATCTGTCAGTGAAAACTCTTATCTTGCTTTGAGGCAGAACAATGGACTGCTATACAGCAGAGGACTCTTTCGGCTATACTGCACATGATATGATGTTTAGGATTCTGGCAAAGATTAATTATACCAAGAGGTAAATGAAAGAGAAGAGTATATGTCTGAGAATACTGGCAGAAGGACATCTGCAGCCATGGGAAGTAGTAAGCAGACATGTTTCAGGACTGCTTCAGGTACTTCAGATGTGAAATCTTGCCTCCATATCTGCCAAAGATGCATCTGTTATCAACAGATAAGACAAAAGTTCTGTTCTGAATCAAAAAAGGAATATAAATTAGTTTAGAATGGACTAAGATACTGCAGGGTGGAAGACCAAAACAAAACAGCAGTCTTTAAAAAACAGATCATCCTAAAAGCTTTTCTAAACTTGATTTTCAAGTATTTTTTCTTGAAATAACGTGCACTGACACTTTGTATTGCAGTCAATGCACTGAATTCGGTGTACATCTTGTCCTTCCTGAAATTATGTCTTTCTCACAAAGACAAGAAATGGGAAAAAGCAACTGCATATGGAAACACTTTCTACGTCCTACAATTTTAGAATTGTCTCCTTCCGCTATCTATTTTCTCCAATATTTTAAATACTCATTTTTTAAAGTACAGTCCATTCTGTTAATAGTCTTTGATAAGTAATCCAGTGTTTCTTTCACCAATTCTAGCTCTGTAAAGAACTGTCTATGTAAAAAGCTTGACGACAGATGTATACTCTATGCATCTGACTCCTGACATTCCTTTGAGACTTCAGTCCCAGTATATAGAAATCATATCAATGACTTTTTTTCCAGGGGGAAATAAAATCTGACAAAGCCATTTAAACATAAATCAAAAAGATTTGTTGAAATAAAACCATTGTAACAGTATTTAATGCTTGTAAGATATAAGAATTTTGTCACTTACCACAACACTCTGGGCAGTCTGGATGCCTTACAGCATTCACTCCATATCCTGGGTAGCCACAATCAACCCACACCATTTGCAGTGTACCTTCAATGTAGTATATTTCAGGCCATGGTTCAGAACTTTTCTTCCTAATTTCCACCTCTTTCTCAAAGAATCTCTCTATGAGGTCCTTTGCCTAAATTGAAACAAATAAGTATTTTTTTTAGAATCAGTGATGCAGAGGTCAAAATAGAAGATAAGACCAAGGAACGTGGGTGTGAGTTGAGATTAAGAATTAAAGGATGTATTTCTAAATCTTTTGATTGTAGCAGGTAGGTGGAATAGAAACAGGAAGGTAATCTGATATTCTTTGATACGTTGTCTTAAATGTAGATAAACCTTGCTCACTTAATATCTCTAAATGTTCAGGATTATAGAAATACAACCATTTAAATTAATTCAGCTTTAAATAAACCTGGATTGTCGCATTAAACCTATCCTGCGTTGGATATCTGTAGCTCATCATTAGTTTTGCAAATTTCCCTCTTATACCAGTACTATTATTTAGGTCCAATTATATTTCACACTTTCCATCCATACTGAATATCTCTGTTCAATAAAAAGAAAATACTACACACACACAAAAGAAAATACACAAATTACAAAAATGGCAAAAACAAATGTGTTTATGCATTCTTATTTTGATCTTGTCTGCATGAAAATACCTTGACTACGAGCTTTCCCACAAATATATTTTTTTTTTTTTCCAATGGACAGTATGGAAACTGTTTAATGAGTACTGCATGTTTGTGACTCCCTTCCCACTCCAGTTGAATCCCAAAGCATGATTTATGTACCTGATATTTCTTGACAGTGGATGGATGTAAATAGCAGATGGTTCAGAACAGCATTAAAAAACAACACTATACTGAACAGAGAGCACATCTATAATCAACATACTGTGAGGAAGGTGCTTAGAGGTAGGCCACAAAAAAAAAACACTGAACACTGAAAACAACTGCCTTGAGCTTTCCTTTTTAAGCTCCTAAAGTACTTTAGTTCAGGTTGCACAGCAATACATTCATGATACACACTGTCCTAGGTGTTCCCCTCCTAGGGAAGAAGACATATCTTCCTCCTGTCCTTCCTTTCTCTTTTTCCTTCTCCTTTTAAGAATCTCTGAATCAAAGTTAACCTGATAAGCTAAGGTTCAACTTCTCTTTCTCTACTGTAAGAGCCAAAATCTTCAAGCAGCTACTATTTTAGTAGATCACAGAATCACTTTCTATCACAAGTGATGGAAAGGCATGCCATTGCAAAAATATGACCTTTAGTATTTGCAAGACTTGTCCAAAGCTTCCTGATTGTCTTGCTACTCTTCATATTCTTAAAGTACTTTCCTTAATGCAAACTGATAAGTGTGATCTGCCTTACCCATATGGGCAACAGAATATTGTCAATTTTAACTAAATTTTATATTTTTTATTAATTTAGAACCACTAAAGCTTTTATATTGGTTTATTTACTAACTAAACTATGTTTCATGTTGATATTTTACTATACGAGAGTAGCCTATTAGGTTAGTTGCAATTTCATTCCTCTGTCTACTTTACCTTGTATAATCTATGAGGTGCATCACAAGCACTTTGTGGACATGGTTTGTTGTTTTCTGTGTCTAAGCAAGTAACTGTAACAAAATACAATCTGTTTGCAGAGGAGCAAAGTCAATGAAATCAACATTTCTATTTACTTGTTTACAGATTCTAATCATTTCTGATGCAACTGTTTGGAATTTCACATTTCAGGTGGCTAACTTGCAACATTTTAAAAACATTAATTTGTCCTCCTATAGACATTACCACTATGTCTATTTAAGCATATTGCATGCACTTAAATATGTCATGGGAAATCATTTTTATTTGTAAATTCTGATGGCAAGGAAATATGTAATCCTGGATGCTTCGCAGACATATAGATATCCAAATCCTTTCAAAAAATAAAATAAAAGACAATACAATAAAATAAGCTACTGTCTATTTACCTGGATATCATTCTGGTTTTATAAATACAGATTTAGAAACAGTCACCCAGGGATCCTAACAGTTCAACCTTCTGATTGTTCAGACTGAAGGGACTCCAGTTTTCTCTCAAGAACAACTTCATCAACATCAATATCTTTAAAGATTTCCCAATTTCCCCCACTGATCTCTTCCTGTGCGCGCATCTCAGTCCCATGTACTCACACACTCAACCCCTTCCGTCCTCATAGGAACCTCTATGAGGTACTAAACCAAAGGAAAACTTTGAGAATGGATGCAAGAAAAAATGGTTACACTTTAGTAATCCATTTGCATGAGACCACATTCCTCATCACCTATGACTAGCATGATATGGTGAAGGCCTGAGACATGCTAACAAAGCTGCTGGCCTACTCTCCAGAACCAACACTTGATTAATCTGCCATAATAACATTATCTGTTATCATGTTAATTTCACTTCTCTTAAGCTTTACCTACCTGTCATGGAAGTAATTCTGAAACACCAAAAACTGCTTAGAAATAAAAAAAAAAACTGCTTAGAAAAAAAAAAAAAAAGACACCTCAAGGTGCTGAAGAATGTGTAGTTTACCATCGGGTTACATCAAAGTTTAAATCCACCTAAATCTCTAACTGGGGAACTTCTCCTTGATTGTAGAAAAGCTTCAAAGTATTGCTTAAACATTTTATGAAGTCTGCACATTGGCTAACTCTCATTTATGTCATCTCAACAAACTAGAATTAACCTAAACTAATGACCCTCTTCACGTCAGTGCTATCCACTACAAATACCATCTTTAGAGAAACACAACTAATAGTTTCACTGTTTTGGAAAGTGGAAAACAAAGTGCAATTGATATCCTTTGTTCAGAAGTGGGTATTTTAAAACTGCATGTGTTGATGTATAGTGACTAATGTAATTATACATATGAAAATATGAAATCTTGGAAAACATTAAGCTCAAGAAAACTTTAAATATGTTCTTATCCACATTCAGCTCAGCAACTGCAAACTAGATATCTCTTAATAACAAAGTTTTCAGGTGAACTACGTATATAGTGAGACTGCTTTACTTTCTATTTCAATCTTCTTTCATAGCATAATAGATCTAGAACCTTTTTTCAAATGGTCTGAATGTTTAGAAGGAATGCTCTCAAAAAAAGTAAAATAATATCTTCTTTGGACTGACACAGCATTAAGATTTCTGACTACCACAACTGATGCATTTAGTGAAAAGCTGTTAATAGAAACATTTTATGAAAATTAGTGTATGTTAAGGTGAAAATGTATTTGTAGTACATTAATCTTATGAGATAGTTTGAGATTATTTATGTATAAAAAGATTTGAATATCAGATATATCAGATATAATGTTTTGCAATTATTACAATATACAGTGGCACTCAGTAAGAACACTTAAATATCCCATAGCTTAGTGACTGACAAAACCACCTGGTTATTTGCTTTTAATCGCGATTGAAGGAAACTACAAATACCAAAGTCAACCCAGCATTTTTGTAAACCGGTTTTACCCACTTCTCCTTTATACTCCTTTTGTCTAAAAAATAAAAATTAAAAAAAAAAAAAGGAAAAATATTAAATATCCCTCTTTCACTGTTGCCACTTAACAGAAAGAACTGTACTGAGATTCATCTCATTTAACTCCAAACCACATCCATAGAGAGATTTATACATCTGTAATAGCTGACAAGAGGAAAGTCATCCAGGGAGTTATGGAATACAATGCATCAGTTTTCTTCCCATGATAGTGTGCAACAAGGAACATGATAAAGTTTTATGATGCAAAATAAAAAAAAATATTGATCTACGTACAACTGTAAAAAGTTCTGTTCTCTAATGAAATAATGTAAAAAACACACTTTTGAGTAGATCTTTTTGTTACGGGCAGCAGCTTCACATGCAATACCTTGAAGCATTTCTACAATCGGAGAAATTAAATACATATAATACTTTCAGCATATAAGCAGTAAGTTCAATTAGCCATAAAACATCTAACCATTCTCTACATCCAAGACAGATTATTACCTGAAAATGTAAAGAACGTTTTGTTCTGTAGGCCTCCTCTCTGCATTTTTACATGGTGGCATTCTGACTTAATTAATGAAACCTCACATGAAAGGTCAGCAGCGAGCTTGCTGAGTATCTGAAGCAACGCCTTCCCAAAAGAAGTGTTACGAAAACTATTGCAGGGGGCTGCATGGTACTGGACTGTCAGTTCATAGTAATACTGAGGATCAGAATAAGCTGCAGGAAAAAATGCAAATGATGATGAGGAAAACGCATGAAAAAATGAGTTACATATTTGCAAATAAAATTGTCACTTTAAATTCTTAACTTATAAACAAAATTAATTTGTTGTTAATTTTTAATGATAAAATAATGTGTTCTGGACTGGTCAGAAACACGTAGGAAAGTCCATATTCTTAATTATATCCATAGGTTACTTTATGTTTATTACTGGCTGTGTTGTTTGGTTTTTTTAAAACAGTGAAGTATAGAAGAAGCATCAAGAATATGAAAGCTAAGAAGCATGTTAGAAAATATCCTGTAGCATGTGGTGAAGTATTTCAACTCACACATTACCTTCAGTTATAGTAGTGTATTTTACTCTTCTTACTCAACTACCACAAACAAGTATTTTAAAGGATGTAAAAACTGAATAGAAATTCCTTCTCTATCAATGTAAGTACCTGAACGTGTTATCATACAGACATGAAATTCACATTTAAGGAAGAACCAGCTATTTAAACTTTACTGCAGGGCTACAGGCACACTTGGGCATCTTTTACAAATATAATGTACCATGAAATGCATGGGTTTAGTTACTTCATGACAACCACTCTACTTACCCAAAGCTTGCTATCAGCTTGATATTAATAGAATGCTACATTGAAAACAGAAGTAGAAGAATGAAGAACAGGGGTTATGGTGTGGGTAGAAACATAGAAATAAGGAGGGAGATTTGCAGAGAAGAAAAATGAAGGAATAGAAACCAAACCAGCCAAAAGAAAGAAAAAAAAAAAATAAAACAAACAAAAAAACCCTAACAGAATCATAGAACAGCCTGGATTGGAAGGAACTTTAAATATGTAGTTCCAAGCCTCCTGCCATAGGCAGGGACACATTCCACTGTACCAGGTTGCCCAGGGCCCCATCCAACCTAGCTTTGAAACACTTCCAGGGATGGGATATCCACAGCTTCTCTGGGCAACCTGTTTCAGTGCCTCACCACCCTCACACCTCATGCCTCAATACAACATCCAAATGTTTCTTGAACACCTCCAGGGATGGTGACTCCACCATCTCCCTGGGCAGCCCATTCCAGCACCGTAACGGAGGAACGGGTGCTGTACTTCTTCCAAACACCAACTGTGGAGCCTGGTGAGAAGACGCATTTCAAGCAGATATTTCACACAAACTAAAAAAGAAAACAAAACAAAACAAAAACAAAAAACCAATCCACCACACATTGACCAGCAGCTGCCTGAAAAATGACATCACAAACAGCTAGCTATTGCATATCCCAGCTTGCAGACAGAACCTGTAGATCAAAAAAGTCGGGACAGCTTAGTCATCTCAGCATCCCAGTGAAACCAAGGCGGCAGATACCTGAAGCCACTTGGCCATTCCGGCAGTAACAAAGTATTCCGACCGCCTCTAAAAGCACTCGCCTCCCCTGCCACTGACCCACACCCACCCAGCGCCTGCCGCCTCCCTTAATGCTGCCCTACACTCTGACCTCGGCTCTAAAGTATTACTTTAGAGGGGCTGCGCTGGGAAATAAACATCACTCCAACAGCAGGGAAGGAAAAAAAAAGAAAGACTCAAAATAAAAAGCAATCTGTCTCCAGTCCTTTTCCCTCATCCCACTGTCCCAAGGAAGGAACCTTAAAGCCCGCTGCGGGAGGCGGGAGGCGGGCCCGACCCGGCGGCAGGTAGTGCCGGCCGCCCCGCCTGCCCGCCCCTCACACAGAGCGGGAGGCGCTGTTGCCTCACGGAGCAGCTGCGGCGCGGCAGCAGCGAGCGGCTCTGCGCAGCCGCAACCGTTCTGTCGGCGGTGCTGAACTGAGAAGGCGTAATGCGAATAGCGCCATAGAATCCCACAGAGCTGCTTGCAGGCTCCCAGTGACAGCGGCAGCCGCTGGCAGCTCTAATCATGTGCGCTAACACCTGTAAAAGAAAAAAGAGGCAACGCGTGAATACAGAAGAAAAAGCAGACCTCTTCCACAGAGGAGAGAGTACAGCTGCACACAAAGCTCCTAAACAAGAAAATACATTCCTTTCCCCATACACTACATGAGCAGGCTGCTGTATTACCACAGAGATCCACAGAGAACTGTGCAATCGTGGAAGTTGGAGAAGACCTCTACTCTTCTGGAAAGGACCATCAAGTCCAGCTGTCAAACCATCACCACCATGCCCACTGAGTGCGTTGCCAATTCCAACTCAAAGTTGCTCAGCTATTTGTCTCCATGCATCTCCCAGGTAGCAGCCCTGGGAGTGGACACACAGGGGAGGGATGCTGTCCAGAGAGACCTGGACAGGGTTCAGAAGTGGGCCCATGCCGACCAACCTCATGAATTTCAGCAACACCAAGGCCAAGGCCCTGCACCTGCTTCAGTGCAATCCCGAGCACGGATAACGGCGTGCTGGAGAATGGGTTGAGAGCAGCCCTGGGGACAAGCATTTGGGAGCGTCCTTTGATGATTCACCATCAGCCAGCAGTATGTGCTTGCAGCCAAGAAGGCCAACCGTATCCTGGGCTGCATCAAGAGAAACGTGATCAGCAGGTCGAGGGAGGTGGGTCTGCACCACTGCTCTGCTCTCGGGAGACCCCACTTGGGGTACTGCGCCCAGCTCAGGAGCCCCAAACACAAGAAGGACTCCAAGCTGTTGGAGTGGGTCCAGAGGAGGGCCACAGAGATTATCAGAGTGCCAGAGCACCTCCCCTATAAGGACAGAGCTGGGGCTCTTCAGCCTGGAGCAGAGAAGGCTCCAAGGAGACCTGCTAGCTCCCTTAGTGCCTCATAAGGCAGGGATTCCAAGTGGGGGGGCTGATTTGCACGACACAACGCAGGAAAGGCTTGCGGCGCTTGTATCAGTGTCACCCCCTAATATTGCTTCTTTTCTGCACTGCTCTAAAGCACCGTAGTACGCCCTAGAAAAATTTTTCTTTCCCGCACCCTTCAAATTACCATCGGGGGGAGAACGTTCGGTTCGTCTTCCGGATCTACCGGACCAGCATCAGGCGACGTAAGCGGGCCGGAGGGCGGCAGCGCCACGGCGAGCGTCGAGGGCGGGGCGCGATTTCTCTTCTCCCCGGCTGGCAGCGGGGTCGGAGCTACGGCTCGGGTCCGGGCAGGGGCTGCTTTCGGCACCGAGGGGCAGCGG